AGATATCACCTGTTTTCAAAGAATTGGTTGCTTTGTGGCTTGATGCAGTGCTGGAAAGCTGATATATGTTCTGGTTGTTTTGTTTGAGGCTTCGTCTTGATCATGATGGAACTTTCCATTATCTAGATAAGGTTTTCACTTGTATGCTTGCTTGCTGCATTAATGAAAGATTTGCTATTGATAATCATATAAAGTCAGTGCTAAAATTAAGAGATATATCTTTCTGTTTAAAATATTTTAAAGATTGTTTTTGGTCATAATGTTGGGTCATTGGAAGAATGATCATCTCATTTTACTGATACAATCGCATGAAATCTTGGACATATGAAAATTTTCACAAAGAGTTCATTGTTGTCGAGAGTCGAGACCCATGTGTCTGGCTTGGTTCTTTTGGGAAAATAACAATTATTTTTCTGTTCCACAAAATGTGACTTTTTATTTTTTCTTCACATTGTTGTTCCAGTAGCATTTTCTGGAAGTGACGATGGCATTGTTATATATGTCTAAAATATATATCTTTTTGAGTGTAGCCGCCACCTTATCTTCAAAGACATCCAACTCTTCCATTGTAGCTGCAGAACATGGAAAAGTGCTGGCAATCATGCCAATGGGACACCTCTGTCAGTTACATATCATAGCTTATAATACGACGCTATCTATTTCTTCCACATGACAAATTTCTGTATTGAAAGATAAAAAGCAATTTTAAGTAATTCATTGCACCTCAGTTGACTTTTTCCATGTAATGTGATATTCTCCATATTTGATAATCTATGGAATTGAGAAAAAGGTACCATTACCTGTTGCTATTTATAGAGCCCAAAATTGTGTTGTGCACCATTACACGTTGCTATTTATAGAGTCCAATATTATTGTACACCATGAATATGCGTGAGTTTTTTCTTAGAATGATGCCATGGATCTAAAAAATTAGAACGGCCGATGCCTGCATACGTTGTGTTTGTGATGTTCCTTCATCAGTTCAATTATATTTTTGTAGATTTACAAGCTTGAAATAATTGGCTTTCCAGTTGTCTGATAATTAGTTCCTAGAAGTCCGACTCCAGTTATGGTTGTTCATAGGGTCATGCAGACATGTTCTTTTTTTTTTTTCTTCTACAAATAATTGGATAACATTCAGATGGAAGTAGAATTAACTGCCTGAGTGTTCCATTGTTGTGGTCTTATAATTGCAGGTAATTTTGTACCGAAAAGATCTAATGGTAAGAATGTGTCTCTAAATCATGTTCACATGCCTCCAGAGCTTCTAGTTGATATTGATGTACCATACGAAGTCTTGAAATCTTTTTACTTGCTACCTTCTTTGATGTACCGAGTGGAATCCTTGATGTTAGCCTGCCAACTAAGGAAGGAAATTTCTTTCTGTTCTAGCAATCCTATACCAAGCTTCCTGGTAATGCATAAGCAACTTAACATCTATGTTTCTGCCTCGTGCATGGTTAAAGTTATTTAAGCATCATGACTATTGCTTTTTCTTAGATTTTGGAAGCAATTACTACGCTGAGATGTTGTGAAGACTTCTCCATGGAGCGGTTGGAACTATTAGGGGACTCCGTTTTAAAATATGCAGTGAGTTGTTCTCTCTTTCTAAAATTTCCTGGGAAACACGAAGGGAAATTGTCCTCCGACCGGATAAAAATAATTCGTAATGCCACTCTTCATAGCTTGGGAACTAAACGTGGCATACAGGTACAGCACCATTTCCATTTGTTTGGATTTATTTTTTCTCGTTTTTATGTAAAATTTTTCCATCAAGTCATCAACACTCATAGCAAGGCTGTATTCGGCAATATCTGAAATTATATGACACGTGCTTCATGAACATATCCGCATTTTTGGTCACTTGTTTTTTGCAGCAAAGACTTCATACAATGTCATTACTCATTATATTCTAAATATGGACATATTCGAGGACAAACTGCCAGCAGTCCTCTAAATGTATCATGTCCTTGTTTTTGAAATATTAGGATTTTATCTGACACTAACATTATGACTGTTAGAAGTTAGAACACACTAAATGAACATCATAAACTATGAAATTGCTTCTTCTATAAAGTCATTAATATCACACTGCAATAAGCCATCAATTTTCCCCTTATTTGACCAACATTCAGATGATCAATAGTCATGCTTCTAATCAGTATCATACTGATAAAAATTACATTTAGGTTTCAGGCACCAGTTTAAGAAAAGTGTAGACTATCTTAGTAACTAGTTATATGCCTGGTTTGTATAATAGTGAACTTTTTAAGTAGGAAATTGACATATCTAAGTGGTTGTTAGCTAAGATATTTGCTGATTTTATCTTAGAATTAAAGTATGTATATTTGTTAAGGAAAACAGTGCATTGAAGTTTTGTCTTCCTTGCACCACGAGTTAGACTAATGTGCTTGTTTACAAGTCCAAATTCTAAGATAACAGCATGGTGTCATTATGAGGCATCACAAGAAAATGTGCTTGTGAAATCTGAAATGTCCAGTCTAAGATTCTTATCTATCTGAAATGTGAAATCTGACAGATTGCTATACTTATCCAAAATTTACTAACATACTTCAATGTGTTGCTTCCCAACAGGGTTACATACGTGATGCTGCATTTGAACCTCGTAGATGGGTTGCTCCTGGACATATTTCAATACACCGTGTTCCTTGTAAATGTGGATTAAATGACAATGAAGTGCCAAATATAATTTTGGATACAATTAGTGACAAGTCTATTGTGATAGGAAAGGCATGTGATAGAGGACACAGGTGGCTCTGCTCAAAAACAATATCAGATTGTGTCGAGGCTCTGATAGGTGCATATTATGTTGGTGGTGGGCTACCTGCTGCTCTTGCATTTATAAAGTGGCTAGGAATTGATACCGAGTTTGAGCCTGATATGGTTGAGGAGGCTATAAGAACTGCATCAGGTTGGACATACCTTCCCAAAATTCATGAAATAGAAACACTGGAATCAAAAATTGGCTACAAGTTTACTGTCAAAGGTCTTCTTCTGGAATCTATTACCCATGCATCTCAGCAAGAATTAGGAGTCTTCTTCTGCTATCAGGTAGCATACGTATTAGTCTAGTCTCTTCCAAATTGCAAGTACTTTACTTTCAGTTGCATTTCTAGTTTTCACGATTAGATTTTTTTGATACTCTTTTAAATTTTCAGCGTCTTGAATTCTTGGGTGACTCAGTTTTGGACCTGCTCATTACGTGGCATCTCTTTCAGCGCCATAAAGATATTGACCCTGGGGAATTAACTGATTTAAGATCTGCATCAGTAAATAATGAAAATTTTGCTCAAGTAGCTGTCAGGCATAAGCTTCAGCAGCACCTCCAACATAATTCTGGATTACTTTTAGAGCAAATAACAGAGTTTGTCAAGAGACTTGAGGATTCAGATGAAAACAAGTATATGCTTTTGTCAAATGGTTCATCTAAAGTACCTAAGGTTGGTTTCCAGCACATAATAGAATATCTTCTTATTCCTTAACTGTCAGTAACACTTTCCTGTCACAGGTCCTTGGAGACATGGTTGAAAGTATTGCCGGTGCCATATTGATAGATACAAAGCTTGATTTAGATAAAGTATGGGAAATTTTTGAGCCATTACTCTCCCCAATTGCAACTCCAGAGAACCTTGAGTTGCCACCTCTACGTGAACTTACTGAATTATGTAGCCACCATGGTTACTTCTTGAATACAACATGCACAAATGAGGGGGACATGAATGTTGCTGTTCTTGAGGTACAACTGGAGGATGTTCTGTTGGTAAGGGAAGGTCGTGAGAAGAATAAAAAAGCTGCAAAAGGGCAAGCAGCATATTTGCTGTTGAAGGACTTGGAAGTATGCTTCTGCACCTTATTGTTCTTTTGTCTTTAGAGTCTTTGCTTTGCTATTGTCATCCTTTAATTTTCTTATTTATCATTTTGAATTCATTGGTTTTGCTCAGAAGTTGCTGATTTATTTTTTAGGACCAAGAAAGGGTTTTGCGGTTATGATCATAGATGACATTTCTGAGCTTCTAGTTTTTGGTCACCGGTTGTCTAAGTTCTCATGTACCATCATGTGACAGGAAAAAGGATTTTTGCACTCCCGGTATGCCTCCAAAGGGACACAAGCTGAAGAAAAGATTGCAAGCCACAAAGAATCTGTTGAAAAATCTGGTAGTTTAATGTTGGATATTGAGATTCCTACGCCAGCAAAGCATGGTGAAGTAGTCAATTCCAAGAATGTTTCTGTTCCCAGCCCAGGTAAACCAGGTATTACCCATTATGTAAATATGTCTACTGTGGGTTTTATGTCACTGGACTTGTTAATTGTTATTATTCCTGATAGTGGTTTATGTTAATCGATCAACTTTTATGTTTTTCTTTTAGTGGCTTTGACAGTCAAAATGCAAAAAGGTGGGCCTCGAACTGCACTGTATGAACTCTGCAAAAGATGTCAATGGCCAATGCCTAGCTTTGAAACATTAGAGTGGAAGCCAAGGTTAGCCCGACCAAATTTCTTCCCTAGTAAAAATGATTGTTAGTATTTATTTATATAAGACCTGGATTTTAACATGCACAAGCATGAAAGGATGGCAGGCCATCTGATCTAGATTTGTTTTGTGATTATGACACATAAGCTACTCTAATGCCATACAAATTGCATGAGATAATTTCATCCTAGGATCAATCAGCTTATCCTGCTAAGGACCATGAACAACAAAAACCACATTTCTCGGTATCTAGTAGATTGTAAACATAGGAAATTTTAATGTCACTGTTCTATATAGCTTGCTTATTTCTCGGTACATCCAAAATGACATTTGTGACGATTGGCAGAGGTTTGGAGGGTCAACTTTACCTACGAAACTCATGCTTGATTAATGCCAGCACTTGCATTCCACATCATGTTGCAGAGTTCTAACCCAGTTGTGTTTTCTGTTCCTCTTCATCTCTTGCACTACCACAGTGGCGACCAGATGAATGAATGTACCGAAGGGGGAGACGCCAACCGTCACATGTTTGTATCAGGCATAACGCTGCATATACCAAATTCCACCATCATCAAACGCAAGGGGGACCGGCGTCCTGATAAGAAGAGTTCACAAGATTCTGCAGCACTAACCATGCTTTATGAGCTTGAGAAACTGGGCAGGTGCCAGATTGAGGCGCAACAACCGGCCGAAAGAATTTCATGAACATTTTTGGTGCGTGTTGTGTGTGCGTTTGTGTGTGTGCGTTTGTGTGTGTGTGTATATATATATATATATATATATATAATGACTTTTATAGTCTGAGTAGACTTTACCAATAAAAACTGTGTATTTTGCCCCGAGTTGACAAGCAGAGGCATGATAGAAAGAGTATATATATATATATATATATATATATATATATATAGATATATATACAGAGTATTTTGCCCTGAGTATACTTCCCCGATGCGATGTTTAATGGTGAGGCTTCGTATAGCATCTAAATCCTTGGTTGGTGGATCCTGTAATCCCATGGTGTTGTCTTGTACACACACACACACATATATTATTCTTTGCATTCAACTATTATATTGCATTAGATGATTATGATGGATTCAGATTCTTATCCTCGTAATTGTGCACAGAGGGAGAACTTTTCCTACTTTAATCTGCTTCTTGTAATGTCGACTGCAATCAACTCTTTATTTTTTCTGCAGGATGCCCAGCCAAGTAGTCTGCCTCATCTTTGTTGAAAGAAATATTACTGCTAAAGTTTTGGAAAGATTTATTAAGAAAGTTTGTTTTTTATCACATTTCACTGTGTCATACTTGGCTGGAGGGTCTTCTTCAGTTGACGCACTAACCCCAAAAACGCAAAAGGATATTCTGGACTCCTTTCGTTCAGGGAAGGTATCTGAAATTTATATTATATTATTTATCAATGTTTCAGTGACTACTCTGGATAATAAACGCAACTATACATAATTTGTTTTTGTAGGCAAATTTACTATTTACCACTGATGTCGCTGAAGAGGGTACCGATGTGCCAGATTGTTCATGTGTAATCAGTTTTGATTTGCCGAAAACAGCTCGTAGTTACATTCAGTCTCATGGCCGAGCTCGACAAGCTGGTTCTCATTTTAGACTTCAGTTCATTTTAGACGTAAAATTACTATTTAGACTAAATTTATGTAGATTACGTATTGCTTGCAACTTCTTCTCCGTTGAAATTTATATCTAGGTGTTAATTTTTTGGCTTTCCAATTTTGCTGTTACCATGCGTTAATAACAAAAATATCTGAGCTGTCGTTACATGTATGTGGACCCTTATGCATGCCAATCTATCAAACCAGTCATGCTATGACATGATTGGCATGTCTTACTAGGTCACAACGAGGTGCGCTGAAA